CAAAGCTTTAAAATAAGTAACACTAAAGATGATTAAATGAAATATGAATCATTTTCACTATAGTGTATTTCATCCATATTACTTCCGTCAAAGCAAAACTATGGGATTATTGAGAGGATACAAAATCGTATGACACATGAGAACTTTCAAGCAGGCGTTTGTTTAAGTTTATTACTCACTTTGAAGTATCAGTTTACATTTAGTAACGTGAGCAAATATTCTATCAAAAACAAATGAGCACAACAACAGTTTTGTTCCATCATAATATTTACTTTGTAGCAATGCATTTGTGTCTGTGTTGCAATCTAGGATCATGTGGTAAAAGAATCAATTGAATAAGAAATTTCTTCTGGTATGTTGCTCCCTGGGAAATAAAGTTGCACCGTTGTTGGCATGAGTGTATATTATATGAAGAATGGATATGTTTTAGAACGGTTCTGTACAAGTAAATGACTCGTTTCACAGCAAAACTTCTAGCTGATAACGTGAGTGATGATCATACTGCAAATGAATTCTTTAGAGTAGGATCCTATCCGAGAACACTGCTCAATTTTGCGTGACGTTTGCCGCCGATGTTGGCATCGAAGATCAGATAGTAAATGCAATATCTAAATCAAAAGTCGCTTCGAATAAATTTCACACTTTACAGTTACGTTTCTAGCTAGTAGCATGACTGAACATGACATAGTAAATTACTATACTCTAGTAGTATTATATTCTAATATATTGCTCTGTTTCAAGCAAGGCTTGCCGTCGGTGTCGGGATCAAAGATTAGGCGATAAATAAAACATCCAAATAAAGACCAGGTTCAAATAAATTTCTTGCTTTACAGTTATGTTTCTAGCTAGTAATAGGACTGAGTATGGCATGGCAAATTATTACGTTCTAGTATGATTCTGTTCTAGTATACTGTTCGTTTCGAAGTAAACTGCGCAGTTGGCAAAGTTAACAAAAATTTCTTGGCAGAAGAATTGTACTAGTACCATAGTTGTATTGAAGTATATTGCACACCTCAAAGAAAGACGTTGTAGCTACTGACGTGACACGCCATTACATAGTCCATGAATCATCTTCACTAAGTTTCCCTTCATACGTATTGTTCACTGAAAAGAAATGCATCGGAACCGTTGAAATGAGCAAAGATCGCATAAAAAATTAATATCTCGTATGAAAAATCTATTCCAGAAAATTGTTTACTTCGAGCAGAATGTTTAAAAACGTTTATGGGATCCAACACAGCGTAGTAAATGAATATTTTAAAGAATGGTTCTCGTCATGTACACAGATCACTGAAATAGTATAGTTTTGGGTTACATTATTAAATTGAAGATCACGTGGCAAATGAATTAGTTATACAACAGTTCTGTCCAAGTTTATGGATCACTTCAATGTAAAATTGTGCCGTTGTTAATGTCAGAAAAGATCAACAGACAAATAAATACCAATTAAGAGCATCTTGTCTGAATGTATGGGTCACTTCAAAGCAAAGATTTACAGTCGCTAGGACAAACAAGAGGTGTCTGATAAATGAATACCGATTAGTAGAATCCTGTGTGAGAATGTCCCTTCCTTCGAAGAAGTTAGTTTTAGCTGGTAATGCTAGGAAATACCATTTGTCAAATGAATACTTCCTAGAAAGATTCTGTTCTAGTATGTTGATAATTTTCAAAACAAATGTTTTCACTGAGCCAAGTGATCGAACATTGTATGGCCGATAAATACCATAACCAGGGTCTACTTCGAGTATACTGCTCATTGACAGGCACACATTGAACTTATTGATGTAATATTTGATCAACTTACGAATGACTGAACTACAATAGGATCCGATTCGAGTCTGCTATTCAATCCGTCTGCAATGTTTTCAATCGATAGTGTGAGGAAACATTACATGCAAAATAACTAATCAGAGATCGCTGTTCGTTTTAGCTATTCAGTTTGAATTGATAATTGAATTTCATGAAATAATTAAAGACTGCATGGTAAATGTATTTTATTAAGTTCCTATTAACGTATTTTGTTTCGCTTCAAAGCGGAGTTTCCAACTGGTATCATAATTGAAGTTCACACGACAAACGAACAACTATTACAAAATCCTTATCCAAATATAGGTTTCACTCCAAATTAATCTTTGAAGTTGTTCACGCGGTTCAAGATGCCATGGCATATGAAGTCTATCCAGAACAGGCTTTTCCGACAAAATAGCTCATTTCGACACAAAGAATGAACTTGCTACTGGAGCAAAAATTACATCGTATATGATAAGTTCTCAGAAGCGACCCCTTCTAGTATACCAGTAACTTCAAAGAAAACTTCCAAAGTATTCTTATGATGAAACGTCACATGTTAAAGAAATACCACTTAGTAGCATCTTGTCAGACTATCGTCATCAATGCCAAGTCAAGTGTGCAGTTGATTCGAAAATGGAAAATTTCATGCTCAATGAATGTGCTTGACAAAAATTTTGTTCAGAAATGCGGTTACTTTTACGCGAAAAGGGGAACATAATTGTGTCATCGAAGATCAAATGACGAATGAACAGTTGTCAGTATTCTCTGTTTGACTATATTACTCACTTCCACAGAGACTATTTCAGTTGATAACGTGATCGTCGAGCATATAGTACATGACTATTTCAAGGCAGAGACTTGTTCCTATATATTGCTAACTTTCACACAGAGCTTTCAATTGGTAACGTAATCGATGATCATGTTGCCAGTCAATACTTCTCAGAAATGTTCTATTCACAGATATTTCTCATTTGGAAGCAAATTTTAGAGTAGACAACACAATGAAAGACAATATGATAAATGAATGCTGATAATTAAGGTCTGATTCGAGCATATGAAGCACAGCAAAGTGAAGCTGCAAATGATGGAGTGATCTTACATCACAGTAAAAATGAATTCTTTTAACCAGAGCCCTGTTCAAGCTTACTGATCATTTCAAAGTAAATCTTAACTTTAGTATCCTAGTGAAATATTATATGAAGAATGAATAGCTAATACAAAGCTCTTGCTCAGGCATTTTTCTCACACGGGATCAATATTTAAAGCGCGATACGCGATCCTAAATCAGCTAGCAAATGAATGCTTTTTACAAAATCCTTGTTCGCATAGATCTCTTGGTTCCGGGCATAGTTTGAAGTTGGTGAAGTGGTCAAAGCTAGCATGTCAAATGAATAGCCCTTATAAAGTGTCTTTTCGAGTATATTGTTTCGCGGTAAGCAATATGTGTAGTTTGTAAGATGCTCAGTGATCACATAGTACATTGATATATTTTAGCAAAGTTCTATTCAAGTACAACTATTTCTTTGAAGCAAAGTTTGAAACACGTGAAGTGACACTACAGCATCCAGCAAAGGAATACATCTGATGAAAATTCTGTTCAAGTATACTTATCACTTTGAAGTAAAGTTAGAAGTAGTTGACATGATTATGCATCACCAGGTAAATGCATAAACTGGACCAGGATTCTATTCAAATATAATTCTTGCTTCAAAGCAAACTTTGATATTAATGACGTGATCACCGATCAGATGCCAAATGAATATATTTGACTAGGGTTTCATTTTAATATACGTCTCGCTTTGAAGTAATGCTTAAAGCAGTTGACTTGATTCTACATCACCCGGTAAATGGAAATATCTGACCAGGATTCTATTTAAGTATACTTCTCATCTTAAACCAAAATTGATATTAATGACGTGATCGAAGACCCGATGGCAAATGAATAGCTCTTACAAAGTTTATGTCTGACTATATTGCTCATTCCAAAGGAAAGTTTCACGTTAGCAACGTCATCGAAGATAACATAATGAATGTATGCTCTTTATAAGGATCCAATGCTAGTAAATTGCTCACATCAAAGGAAAATTGTGTAGGTCTTGAGTTGATTGAATATGAAATAAGGAATGAATTCTTCTCACCAAAGTCGAGTGCTAGTATGTTGCCCACTTCAAAAAACAATTTGAAGTTGTTGTTGTTTGATCGAATTTGAAATGGCAAGTGAATGCATCTTAGTAGGGTTTAGTGTGATTATAATGCTTGGTTGAAGCGAAAATTCGAAGACCTCAGTTTGATCGAAGGCTAAATGACGAATGAATGCTCCACAGTAGAGTCCAATTCGATTATCGAACTCGCTTAAAAACAAAGTTTGAATGTGATGATTACATCGAAGATGAAATTATAAATGAATTTTCATCAGAAGGATTAAATTCTAGCTTATTGCTTACTTCAAAGGAAAGTTTGAAGGCGTTGGTTTGATCGAAGATTACTCAGCAAATGAATGCTTATCAGGAGGGTTCAGTTCGATTACGTTACTGATCTCAAATAAAAGATGGAGGTTTTGTCTGGGTCGAAGATAGTAGCGTGAATGAATGCTTTTGAGCAGGACCATATTCAACGATATTGCGATTTGCGAAGGTAAGTTAGAAGTTCACAACTTGACTGGAGAGTGCGTAACACATGAAATGTTCATACAATAGTCATGTTCAAGTATATTTCTCATTTTAAGCGAAAGGGTTGTAGGCGCTGAAGAATTAAAATGAGTGTATCGTACATGAATGACAGTAACAAGGATCATGTTTCACCATGGTGTTTACTACGAAGCAAAGTTTGAGGTTACTAATCTGAGTGATGATTATATGGAAAATGAGTACTTCTCAAAAGAGTTCCATTCTAATATACTGTTCATTTAGAAGAAAAGTTAGAAATTGGTGATATAACGAAAGAAAACATGGTGAATAGATATTTCTCATTATGACCATTTTCTTAGATATGATTCACTTCAAAGATAAGCTTTATAATTCAGAAAATGGTTCAAGATGAGATGACAGAGGAATTACCGTGACAGGAATGGTTCTGTACCAATATATTGACACTTTGAATTGTAGTTTTAGACGTCTTAAGATTGTTAAACATTGCATGGCACATATTTAGCCACAACAAGCATTCTATTTCAGTACTTGACACATTTCGATGAAGAACTTCTTACGCATTCATACACTCCAAGTTTGTATTGCAAATGAACAGGATTGAGCTGGAGGGGCTGTAGTTGTAGTTGCTGGAGTAGCAACTGTTGTCGTCGTTGGTATTGTTGTTGTTGGAGTAGTATTAGTAGTAGTTGTTGTCGTTGTTGTCGTTGTTGTTGTTGGAGTAGTATCAGTGGTAGTAGTGGTTGTTGTTGTTGTTGTTGCCGTTGTTGTTGTGGTTGTTGTTGCTGTTGTTGAAGTTGTTGAAGTTGTTGAAGTTGTTGATGTAGTAGTAGTAGTGGTTGTTGTTGTTGTTGTTGTTGCTGTTGTCACAGTTGTGATTGTTGTTGTTGTTGTTGTTGCTGTTGTCACAGTTGTGGTTGTTGTCGTTATTGTTTTCGCTGCAGTCATCGTAACAAGAAAGACCACCAATGCAGCAATTCCCATACCAACAAGCATGCAACAACATAAAAAGAGAAATAAATACCAGCGTAAATATCGACGACTAAAGAAAAACAAATACTCGGTTGAATGATTCTTAAATGATTAAAAAACAACTTCTGTAAAAATATCACTTACCATTTATTTTTCTTGGATTTTTCTTGATGTACATTTTTTAAATTCGTTGGATTTGCTGATGCATTAGTTACATTCATCGTATATGGAGCCGGACTGACCGATGTCGTCCCAATCTTCCCCGAGGCTCGAAAATGTTGATTCTTGTAAAGATAAAAGATAAAAGAGAACATATTTTACAGTGATACTGAGACACTGATGACTTTTATACAGGCAATTCGAAAATGAAGCAATTTTTCAACAGAATTTCATGTATGACTGTGCAAAGTTTTGTCTTAGTGAAAGTGATGAAATATAATACTAGATGGATTCACGAGAAACATGAAGCGACATAAAAATAAGTTCTTGACGTGATGGCGGCTCCCATTCTGAGTTTATTGAGCGAAATAATGGGAAAGCTACTCTTTTATAGCTGATAGAGAACTGGAGAGATACTTCATTTATCGTTAGATTGATGGTGTACCCCTCTGACATTTTTCTATAACATACTTGAACTTTTCCCAAACTCATAACTCACCAATTGCCGCTCAAATTTTAGTTTGTCGAGATGTAAACTAGCGCCTATTCTTATTCATACTCCTGGAAAAACTAGTGATGCGTAATGTGTAGTTGTGAATGCGATGATTTCACATTGCGCTTATATTCTGTTAGTAGTTCAGCGTGGGAATATTCTATCACAAAACAGTTGAAATCATAGATTTATGATTGACATAATCCCTCTCAATTGAGTCTGGGCCGATCGAAACAGTAGAAGTGTGGATATTAGTGTATTCATTCAATTTATCTACACCCACGCCCTTTTCTGACTTTTGCTATCGAGTTCAGTGAGTTTCCCAATAGGCTCTAGTGAAAACTCAATATTTCCGGAGCCCGGAAGTATCGATATAAATAACCACTGGTTACCTTTTTATTTTCAATAGGAGAATCTGGTTCATGCATCACAGTGATGGATGTAGTGCTAGTTGCCAATAGATGACAATCCTAGAAAAAGTGGCACAGAAAATTTCTGTTAATGACACATTTTTGAGGAAAATCGCAATTATCTCACGTGAGATTCTTGTGATTGATTGCCAGAATGACGAGAAAGTTTAATAGGACGAACATCGTTTGGAAGTGAACTTTGAGTCAGCTGCGTCTTCCGTGATCGATCCTGGGATCTATGAGGAACTTTCATGATATGAACTCGTTCTAGTGACGAGCTTCTAGTGGGCTGCGCCGATTGTTCGCAGCGACTGGAACGACGAGAAAGTTTAATGACACGGATTTCTTTTGGTGGCAAACTTTGAATGGGCAGCATCGTTTGAGATCAATTTTCTGTATTTGTCTTCGCAACTGCGATTATTAACAACCAAGTATGTGTTCCGTGAGCCGACAATTCTTTTTAGTGTGAAAGAATGATTGCGCACACTATGCTTCACTGATGGTCTATATAGATATATATATATATATATTGTATTTCAGAAGATTCAATAAAAAAACATCATATTATTTTTTTCTCAAGTATTTCATTACTTCAATCTGCAGCACACTGCATTATACAGTAGTAGAAAGGCTTCCAAATTCATTCTCATAATGTTGTAAGATCGTCTTTTTATTCTCAATCAGGTAAGCAATGAAAAGTAGCATGTCGAAATGTGTGGAGTATACAAGCCGAATTACTTGGTTGCAAAAACTCCTTTCAGTCTTGCCTGATCGTATTTCCTGAATTCTGAATTTTTGAAAAGAACGGAGAGGCTTATATAATGTGGATTCAGTGACGAAATCGGGCGTGGTGTTGTTAATGCTGAAGATAATTAATCAGCTCCAGAACTATTCTTGTGTTTCTCTATAAAATAAGATTTAAAATTATTTCCTATATGCTCTAATGGACTGTCTGGGATCTTTTATGAATATGATCGTCCCCTACAGTGAGTTGTGTGGATGCAATTTAAATAGAAGAGCAGATAGATAAAAACAATACGTAACCAAACAAATGCTGGATGTAAGTAAATAAATCAATAATTAAATAAGTTCTTTTTTATTTTATACTCTTTTGATTAAATTTCTTTTTTTTTGTTATTTTTCTACTTTGACATGTTTTCCGAGCGTTTTTATGTTTTCTTAAATAAATAATCGAAATTTAAAAATGTATTTAATTGAGAATAAGGTAAGAAAGACAAAAAATATATGCATTACTTTTGTGAATGTTCTGAATAAGAAAATGTCGTGGAGTTCTTTGAGAGTTTGGAATTAAGATATATTAACGAAGGGTGTGGGTGTGGACATGGCTAGCTCGTTCTCTACTATTTTACACCTAGATATAAAGAATGAGAAAACAGAGGATGATAACTCAATTCAGGAATTACGTTTATAATGATTAACAGAACTCCTGAATTGTGTTCGAAGTGATATGCGAAATTGCAGGAATTAGATGGAATTGGTTCAGCGCGCGGAACTTGTTCAGCAATAATGCTCAACATAACGGAATAGGATGTCTTCTCGCAGCTTCACACCCACACCCACTTCACAATTAATTTATTCTATGTTCGACATAATCGAGAAATTTATGTTGTTAAAATCAAATTCGGCGAAGAATACACTACTAGAGGTGAATTTGTTGTGAAGGTAATTTCTACAGCGAGATTTTATTATTTTCTCTCTTTCTTTTATACTAACCCATGTCGTGAAAATCGTGGCGATTTTGCCGATTTTCAAAATGATCGGCGTAAAATCTCAATTAATCATATATAGTGAAAAAAATCAATGATTATATAGGATTTTATTACGCTCATGGTAAGAGAACAGATATTTTCAAAAAGCGGCGATTAATCACCGATCTTGGTAAGAAGAATTAAAATTACCAATTAATTACGAAAAGTTTGCAATTTATCAAATCGTGAATAAAATGTGGTTATACATCCGATTTTTCAATGTATTCGTTGAAACTCAAAGCTGAGAATCGGATATTTTTATTCAGTGTGGCACTAGAGTGATTTGCACGGGATTGGATAATTTCGAATCGCAATGAAATCTAATTCAAGTTCACATTCATTTATTTATTTCAAATTTGTAATATGTTTTCATCACGTATAATCTATTTTAGATATATTTCTCCGTCGAATAAGTTCTAGATTAAATTTTTTTCTTGAATCTAGTTTCAGATTAAAATTTCTATCTTTGACCAAAGCCAAACTAAAAAATATTCGCTTTCTTCTATATATTTACATATTGTACCATGGTGTCACAATTATTATTATTTTTAGATTTAGATTTCCTCGGTGTGCTTTAGATGTAAGCTTCATATACCGACATGACCTTTTAATCAATGATCGTGAAAACAACTTATTCAGAATACGTATCCGTATATATGAACGCTATTTTTTTATAATCCGCTTTTGTATTAATTGTTTACGTATTGTATCAGTTTTCTTATTTTTTGTAATAATTATTTAGAATGGAATCATGTACATGTTTTAGTCTTACAATAAAAAGAATGTTTCAATTAGAATTAGCAATAAAAATTATAAAATGTACTTATAAAATTGAGTTTAAATGACTCAAATCATGCCCAAAATTGCGAGAATGATGCGTAATAATCGATCGAAAAATCACGATTTATCGCAGGAATCGCGAAAACTATTTGAAAAAATCGGCGATTATCGTTTCGATAAATCGCGGTTAATTGGCAATATTTTAGCGATTTCGAAGACATGGGAACAAAAATATTGTTTCGATCATTACCAAATAAATCAATAACATCGTTTAGTGAGTAGCCCGAAGTTCGCCAATATGACTTTCGCCAATCGATCTTTCGCCATTGGTGAAAGTCATATGGACATTCGCCAATATACGTCCTGGACTCCTGCCAATTGGTGAAAGTAAAGTAGACACTCGCCAGTGCACCACATGAACTCTCGCCAGTAATTAGCGAAAGTCATATTGGCGAAGCTCGACGATCCCGATTAATCGCGATTTTGATGACACGGGCTAATATTTAACTTATTATTGCACAAATCATATTATTCTACGTTTTCTTCCTCTGGTTTATTTCAAAATATGTAACACTTGGAAAAGATGTCTGCGATTCGTTTGCTATTCTATTTTCCGGTAGTAATTTGCTTTTGCTTGTTCATTGTAATTTAGCTTAAGAATTTCTTTTTTTACTCACATGTTTAATTTGTACATACCAGTGGCGAATCCGTGAGTCACTGAGCGAACTGATACTTCTTAGAAAACTGTTTTTTCGACAAGAGTGCTCAAGATTACCAATTAGTGGATGGGGAGGTAGGGTTCTCCATAAATCCTGACCATCCATGAATATGTTTAATACTTTGAGGGGAAAGTTTTTAACGCTTCTCTTCCAGTGATTTCAGGGCAGCCACTGCTAAAATTACTTGATAAATAGAGTTCTAGTCTCCGAATTATGTCAAATTGATAGCCTGATCCACTGAATATCTATCTATTCGTGTATGATGGTCTGATCGCTCTAAAGATTGTGTGCTGGCGTAATGGAATGCTTCTGCATAGTAAGCATTAATTTTTCCTTTCTGACCATATTATGGAGTGCGCAAAAGCAACATCTGTCCTATCCTATCGGTGGTTGAAAACAAAAGATGTGAACCGATACAAATTCGTCTCAGAAGAAGATATGTTTTGCTATATTCTCTTAAAGATCTTTATTGACTGTTAGTGGAGAAGAACTTTTTTCCAAAAAGTTGACTTCTTAGACTTGATATTTCTAAGACGGGCGCATGATAAAAAGTTTTTTATCACTCGATAAACCATGAAATTTACTAGAGGCCATGTTCTTATAATTTTGCAATTCCTTGCTTTCTTGATTTTCTGCATTCTCTTTCGAATGGCAATCGCAATTACCAATGTAAAATTACAGGTGAGGTTTTTACCAAATTTTTAAGCTGTTGGGTAAATGGAATTCTCGGTAATCTAATGGATGGTAGACGGAAGAGTATCGCCTGGCAAACGGTTGCCGGGTACTGAAGGAACCGAGTGAGTACTAGTGCCATTTATGTCCATTCCCTCCTAGAGCCAAAGGCTTACACAACATGAAAATCAGAAACGAGAGCACATATCAGCAAAATTATAGCCCCTGAACACCTAACGACAGCTTTGAAATGGACTTAAAGGTCCGTAAGGAAAGTCTCAATACCCCATAGCTGAAAATCCAGAGTGGGTCACGAATATGAACATATATATATATCAATTAATTCTTGTGATTTTTTCTAAAGGCTGGCGATGGAGATAAATATTATGGATGCACACAATAACTGAAAAGATTACATCACGACATATACCACGTCCATACTGATCTGTAGATTGTCGTTTACCTGTTGGTACTGGTAATTTTAGTGACGTTAGTGGTATGTAAATATATATGTGCGTGTCTGCGTATGATTTTCCCCTTTTTTGGAACATAATTTTAAGCAATCAAATAATACGAAGTCGGATGAAATAAAGGAGAATACGTTAATGTAATAGACCTTTTCATTAGTGTCAATTTATGGTATCAGCATCATAAACGACTTATATATGATAGGTTCTAGTCATTTAATGAACGACAAGAGAAAGATGCTTGCTATAAGTAATATTTTGTAAATTATCAGCTCAATTTGGAGAGAGGACAATAAAAATTGGGACTATTAATGATTATAATATTGCATAGATAACAGCATTCACAGTGACAAATTGCGCCCCGTTAGTAAACTTTGGAATTTTGCTTACGAGACCTCTTCCATCAAGTGCTGTTAGGTTGAATAATTAAATCCTTGATACGACTATTAATAGTGTATGTATCAATGGGAAACAAAATATTTAAAGCTAATATTTCATTAGAATCGTTGAAATTAAAAGCAAAATAAATATCGTTATTCTTTATGATAAAATTCATTAAATAAATATAAATTGTTATAAAATAAAATGGAAGATGAGCTTTCAAAGCCTTCTTTTCATTTTTAATACCTATAACGCATTACCTAATATTTGTATTGATAACCCATGTTGCGAATACCGAATCATTTTTTGTGGTAAACCGCGGTATTTATCCTTCCTGCGATAATGGGAGCCGGTAACCGTATCGGTAAAACTGCGATTAACCGCCGATTTTCATGCGATTTTTATTACATGAGAAGCAATCGATGGAGAGAATTTACATGAATACTTTCGATGTGCGTCATTCTGGATATAAACAATGCAGGGGACTAAAACGATGAATACTAAATAGAAAGTAACGAGCAAAAAATGAATGAACTAAGGTCGATTCACATTTTACTGATTTTTTGGTTAGATGAGGTGAACAACCCAAAAGAGAGCAATTGTGGTGCATATTTTATAGAGTTTAGAACACGTTCACACCCACACTCCGATCTATGAATGCTTGTTAAACGTTTCACAGCTATAGCTTGCAATAAACAAGAAATACAACATTTGGTTGAGAGTGTACGCGTTAGAATAATTTTCATTCATACTATCTATTAATTAGAAAAAAAATTGTGTTTTTATGAACTACAGTGAAAACCTCGGAGAAACCGTTAGTCTCGTATGACAGTAGTGTTCTTGCTCAATATCTTAATGTCAATAGAAATGTTATGTCAGCAACGAGTATTTTTCTTTTTTCATTTCTGCATGAAACGCTACGATAAGGAAAGATGAATATAACCAATGTTGTTGTTGTTATTCTTTGTAATATAACATTTGAATTATTTTCTCAGTATTTTGCGAAATATGGTGAATATCGGCGATACTCTGATCTGGTTTCGAATATTACTTATCTTACCATTTACGTCAATTCTAACATTCATTTTGACTTTAATTATATGTAGTCAAATACCAAACAATATTGAACCAGACCAAAACTTACCGCAAATATCTGAACTTGGAACTGGTCAAGCGCATAACTATTTCATGTCTGGTTTTATCGTTTTGATTCCACAAATGTTAATCATGTTTATTGGTAGACTTCAATTTTTAATTCAATCTCAAACAATTATTCATCGCGCTATCATATATTGTATTCATGTTATTGCAATCGTGTCTGGTATATTTGTTCTAATTATGGCCATTGTAAGTCTCGATGATCGTCCGCACATTCATGATATTGGTGCAATTGGTACATTTGGTTCCATTTCAATCTATTGTATTCTTCATACGATACTTATAATTTATCTTTTTATTCATCGTTCAAAGGCTGCTAAACATGCGAATATCATATTTCCATTGTGGTTTCTCGGATGTACGATCATTGTAATTACGTGTTCTATTATTTGGGTGATTACATTTGCAAGTATTCCTGAATATATTGCTGCTGGGACACCGTTTCTCTATTTTCTTGCTTTTGCACCACAATTTTGGACAAAAGCGAAACAACTTCAACACGTTGCGAATCTCAATTTTGCAGGACACTATTCAAATCGAACAGAAACTAAAAGCGAATATGAAATGTCATAAACTAAGTCTTCGTGATCTGTTTTGGCGAATGTTTTATTTGTTTCATTTTGTTAAAAGATTCTTTGAAAAAAAACTGCTCACATTCTTCTTCATAGAAAATATTCTATAGTGGTTCATCTACCTGAAGTCTGTACTTGACGACGTTTTAATTCATCTTTTTGGTAATACAAAAGCGACGCCGACACCCCTAGGATAACTGGTAGTATGATAGGTTTTTTTCATCAATTCTTGTAAAAACTTGGCTGACTATCGGAAAGAAGATATCATAATTTGATTAGAGTACATCAATCATGTTTAATTTCTTGAAAACGGTGAATAATAACAACACAATACGAAGGCTGACACACCTCATGGTAAATATAATTTTAATCAATATTTTTGTTGAACATGCTAAAATATGACTATAGACGGATATTGTTAATTTTCCTTTTTAGAAAACGCTTCATACATTGAAATTTTTTTCATTAATCTCATTGAATTATATAGATCATGATGTTGATCTACTTATATTGATGGCACATTGAATTACATGATCAATATCTTATTTATATCCCACGATTTAAACAAATTTACATTCAGTATAACGACATCTGTTATCAATCTAAGAACATTCGAAGTGATCTTTCATAAAATGATGATAGAAGACAGTTGTTATATGAATTTAAATATTTTCAGGTGATTTGTTTCTCTCAAAAGAAAATACGCATTTACCTCGTTTTTTCTATTTCTATATCGGATACCGATCACTCTCGTAATAATAATAATAAAATCATTTTATAAAATAAAAACGTTCTTTACTTTATTTATATTACATTCGCGAAGAATTCCATTTAATATTTTATTTTAATCAATATCTTGATGAAAGTTCCAATAGAATACAAAAATCACATTGCTTTTGATTGGTTAGTTATTACTTTGGCGAAAAAAAAGATAAGAATGGCAAATTCCTTCCTGTTGGGCTCTGTATTTTATTATGATTAATATTGACAAACTGAAGGAGTAGCATTTCCAACATCCTCGGTTTCGATGTCTACTATAGTACTTCATCATTCCAGTTGTTCTCGTTTCAAACAAAACACAAGTTTATATACGAAAGAGAAAGGGTGGATGGCTTGTTCTCCATTTCAAAGAACCCTCACACATACTCAAATTTGCATTCACTTAGGAATGATTTCCGATCAATGATTTATAAGGCGGCCTTTATGATAATTCATCGATCGGAAATCAATGCACATCGTTGCCACCAACAGTTATGATTGTTCCAAGAGGAAAAACAAATTCTAACAATGACGAAATAATTGAAAACGATGAAGACGATAATGAATCACAGATTCATTCAATAGCAACACCTATTGTGCTTGAAATGATTCATTTCTTATATGGAAATTTGTGGGTATCTATATCTTGATAGGGAATTGTCATTATGGGACTCTAATTCAGAAACGAAAATAATTAAAACAAGTTGTTTTGTACTGACTTTTTTTGTGTTATTTGTCAACACCCTCAGGATAGTATTACATGTTGCATGCGTAGTTACTTTGCTTGTTTTGCATGTGAATGTTGGCGACAAACAGTCACTAATTTTCCCCAAAAATTAGACATTAATACAAATTATTAGTTTGATCATTTTTGAAACTTCTAATTAGATCACTTACATATGACACCTGTAATGGACAATAAAAATCTCGTCGATTTCATGGTTTATCGATCAAAAATTTGATATTTGCCACCGACTCCTCAGTGTGACATTATGTAAGCTACTCATTTTAACATCATCTACGCATTGTTTTTGCAAACAAGAAAGCAGCACAATTTTTAAAATTCCATTTCGCTTCGCAAATACTCACAGCCAAATGTAAATGACACTTTTTAAACACGAATTGAAAAATGTTGTTTACATTCATTATGATGCGCCTGTCTTGTAGATTGGTAATTCATAGCACAGAGTGAAAGAAAACGACAACAGACAAAAACAACGTGATTTCAAATATGTTCACAGCTAGTAATGCTGTTGTTGGGGCGCCTTCTGATGTATATCAATATTCAGCGAAGCCGGTAGGTTCATTCTATGTATTGAGAAAATTTTTAAAAATGCATTCATTTCTAAAATAGCATAGTAATTCCCACGCTGTCTCGTCAAAGCAACAATTCACTCATCGAAAAATCGATGCTAAGACAGACAAGCTTAAAACTATTGCTTCACAACCTAGGTAAGCAATAAGACAACCATTTCAGTACTATAATGATTGTGCAACAGTAGAGCTGGATCCGTTGGATTATCCATAACACTAAAAGCCATTTTGGGTACTCTTGTGCTTATGGCGATGGTCGCAGCGTGTGTAATTCCAGTGCTCATTAGTGTTCTTACCAGTTTCAGTAGTAAGTAAACAGTGCTATTCTTTCAGGTTTAATCTTATCTTAGGTATTTTAGCTTTAAAGTCATATTAAAAATGAATTAGTATTTATAAATGTATTTTTTGTGTTAACTTGAAAATGTATTGCTCCTGAGTGCTAACAATGACCCAGGAGTACTATCCGCGTTAATTTCGTTTAACAATTTGCTAGTAATGAAAATACAGAAGAGAGAGAGAGAAAAAAGAAAGAAAAGGAGAGAATGCCAATCATGTGTAATGAAAAGCGTATACAAATGGGATACTGATTAAAATTTGAAGAAGTACAACTATTATTACTCTGTAACTTCTCGTTTGTAATAAGTCGTATATACAATGAGAATGAATAACAATACGAATAAACTATTATGATAACTACAAAGCAAAAAATAGTGACCAAATTTTTCTTATATTATTCACAGGTGTTTATTAACAATGGAACTTTAAAATTTCGTTTTTTTTATGACGTACGCCCGAAAAGCAGTGTTGATAAGTAAACAGAGTAGAAATCAAAATTCACACCTACAAACCGATTGCATTATTAGCGTTTTCAAAATAAAAGTGTTAACATATACTTTCGTTAATTTTCACTTTGGAAAATTTAGCAAATTGATTCCATCAACTCAGAAAATAATGATTCCTGCTCAATTGATACCAGCCTATTTCGCTTGATTTAGGATCTATTTTAGAGATAACTATTATACAACTTTCAGGTGTGGGTGAATAGATGAAAACTACGTCACGAATGCTCATTTTTTGCACTCACATTCAAATCAACTCAAAATAAAGATCTTGCAAAGATGTCTTGCTCTTTTTCGAGAAACGCAAAGATATATCCTCAATAACTGCAGGAAAACTCCTAGGATACAAAAACACTTTCAACAACGGCCGCTTCACTAAAATGAACTTCTAAATCCTTTGAACATCGCGCACAGCTAATTCCAAAAAAAATTAGATGTATTTATATGACTATAATAATACCTTCAAAAATGATATCTTCTACTCAGATATTTTTACGGTCGTATTTGCCGGATAAATCGAAAAAGCTTTCCTGATTGAAGAGTCAATGAACGCATAATGCTGGTGTTTTATTTCAAAGAAAAATTCTTCGGAGGTACTATCTGCACCTTGATATGTTTGCCAGATTCAAAAGAGGAAGATCATCGAATATGTACTGCTTGGTACGATTTAAGAGAAGATCTCGGAGGAAATGTCGGACCACTAGGAGTTCCTATTAGAGAAAAATCGTATTCTGGCTGTTTATTTTCATCTGATTGCACGAAATAGTCTAGATGATTCCGTTGACAAGATAAAAACCTGATTACTTTAGTTTCTGGATGTCAGAATCATCGATTTTGGTTTATTCATGCATGGATAATAAAAAGATGACACTAAGATTGGTAAGCTTAACTTTCTGATTTTTACCCAGTGATCTAAAAGAATCGATATAAGGAAAACATTTCCAAGAACAAAAACAAAAACGATGTATTGCAAGATCATTGCTTCATTAAAATATCGTTCCAATATTTTTTTTTATTTCTGAAATAAATGCATATTGTTTTGTATTATATGCAGGGGCCGCGCGAAGGACCAAATATTAGGGGGGTGTAACGAAGATTGGGGGGGGGGGGGGGCACCCCCCCAGCGCCCCGGG